GGAACTGTCGGTTATCTTGACCCTCAGTATATGAAAACCTTTCAACTCACCCCGAAAAGTGATGTTTACTCGTTCGGGATCTTACTAATAGAAATTTTGACTGGCCGTCGTCCAGTGGAGTTGAAGAGACCTGCTGAAGAGCGGGTGACACTCAGATGGGTAAGTATAGTCAATATGCAACGAGATAAAATCAGCAACCATATTGCTTGTTATTAAAATGAGATGTGATTAGCATTATTGTTATAAAATGATTGCGAATGAGCTCTTAGTCTTGTCATTTGCTCAATAATTTATTTGAACCAGATTAAATTCGAACTGTAACGATTATATCCGGTTTCAACATTTTGCAGGCCATGAAGAAGTTGAATGAAGGTAGGTTGGCGGAATTGGTTGATCCTTTGATGGAGGAAACTATAGATGCAGAGGTTCTGATAAAAATCTTCGATTTGGGGATCCAATGTGCAGCCCCCATCCGAGACGCTAGGCCGGACATGAAAGCGGTGGGAGAGCGGTTGTGGACAATAAGGGCAGACTACCTTAGAAGTGTCGAGAGGGCAGTAGTATAAATAATGTGAGATATATCTGTTAAACGAAGTCAACCTGCAGTTTCATCTACCATGCTTTGAGGAGTCAACTCCGAGATTTGAGGAGTTTGTTTAGTTTGAAAGTGTTATCTGATTACCAGTCCTTGTTTGTAGGATATATTTTTCGATATATGTAAACTGTAACTTTTCTGTTTTGTATTTTGAATTTCAAATCTCCTTGTAATTAGGGTTTTCAAACCCTCTGATGTAATCGTGAACAGCTTATAAATACAAAGCATCCCATAGTTGAATGGGTATGTAAACAAGTGGATGGAAAAACCTGTGTTCTTAAGTTTTATAATATCTTCCCCCTAATTAGACCTTACCCTGTAAAAACAATTTTGTCACAAGACACGAGTTTGCTTTTCAGTTTGGCCATTTTTTTCTACGCGACATCATTTTGCAACCTTGAAAGCAAACAATTTTGAATTTAAATATTTGGCATGATTTTTCAATGTGCTTATGTGTAGCTGTAATTTTTGGTTGTTTGAGCGTTTGTTGTTGTTCCCAACTTAATAACCTGTGCCCAATACCCTCGGATGGTATCGTGCTCAATGGATTTCAACTCAAGTGTGAAATTTTATCACAAAAGTCCAATGTTTCGTCTCCAAATGTAGGACTTCTCTTTCAACTTAGTACTTGGGACCTGGTTTGGGGAACTTGGAGCCCAAGACATCCCCAGGACCTTGATACCTAAGACTCGACCTAGGAACTTTGCCAACGAAACGTGGATAGGAATCTCCACTCAGTACTACGGTCTGGTGGTATTCCTCATCATTCGGAAGTGAGAGGTCTTAGGTTCGAATCTCGTAGATGGTGAATTCAATAACAAATTAAGCTGCCTATTGTGTAGTTTAGCCGAACACCCCCTCCCCTTAGTGTAAAAATATCGATGTACTCAACAAAACATAATAATAATAAACATGGACATGAATCCTAGCGCTAGGGATCCAACCCAGGAACAGACACCACCTCTACTCGAGTAGAATGACTTCCATGGCAAGGACACAGTAATAACACTATTATTTTGTCACTCTAATCGAGTAAAATGACTTCCATGGCAAGGACACAGTAATAACACTATTATTTTGTCGTTTCGCGCTGATGATGCAAAGATATGTGTAAATTTTTGTCTATACGACGATTGCATCATTCACACGGATGCCTGTGCCATAAGTTGCTGTCATGCTCGAGGGCTGCAGCCGCTATTCAGACCGGAAACCCCATGACCCTTTTGTGCTATTTTCCTTCTGTTGGCTGGGTACTTCAACCAGAAACATCGTTGACTCATTTGCGGCTTGGCAGGGATAAAACCTTTGTACGGTACTGAATTAAAAGACAATGTCGATCAACCCTCAAGATCTAAATTTAATGACCTAAAATGTATTAATTGTTATGGAATGATTTTAACTCTTAACTCTTTTTTTTTTTTTCTCGGTAATAATTTCTTTTGTAACTTAATACCGATCCTAGATGGATGAGTATATATAGAGTTTGAAATTATTTTTTAAAGAGCTATTCATCAATTACCTTCCTGAACTTGTGACCATTGGCCAATTTCCCTCCTCAACTTTAATTTTGGCCAATGGTCACAAGTTCAGGGGGGAAATTGGCTAAATTAAAGTTGAGGGGGGAAATTGACTAATTATGAGAGTTGAGGGGGGAGATTGGCCAAAATTAAAGTTGAGGGGGGAAATTGGCTAATGGTCACAAGTTCAGGAAGGAAATTGATGAATACCTCTTTTTTAAAAGTGGATTTGTTTTCAAAAATTCTCTTATTATTTTGATCGTTAGATTCTAAAAAAATCACCTACTTTCAGATCAAGTCTAGTTTCATTTGATTTGTTAGTATGTCCATTTTGCCCCTTAAAGTAAAAATAAAAATATATTTTAATTTGTTAAATTTGAATTTCAAATGCCTTTATCTACTTTCTTATAAAAAAAAAAATTATAAATCCATATACAACAAGTATGATAAGTTTATCAAAAATAAAAGTAAAACAATTGTGAGAGGTAGATAAAAAAAAAAAATTAAAACCTGTGATAGAGGTACATAAGTTATGTGTTTTTGTCCACCTCTATGGGTGGAAAAGGGTTTTCATTCTACCTCTGTGGGTGGAATTATTTCATTTATTTTTATCTACCTATTTTGGTGGAATGATTTATGCATCTTCAATCCTCCTCGTATGGCCACAGTTTTTATATATCCATTTGATTCAAAGTTTGTTTTAGTTTCTGTGCTTGTACCTTGATGTTTGGGGATCTTTAATTATGATGTCATCTTAATTTGTTTGATATTCACCCTTCTGTCCCAAAAAAAGAAACAAAATTTTGTTTACCTGAATTGGTGGAAGGCGCAGATCAAAATGGAGCAGCAGTTTGGTGACTATGAGTGCTGGGGATGGAGGGTTTATTCCTTTGGTGGGGCATTTAGGATTTTATTTCCCAAATACATTCAATTTTATGTATACCTACTCTTTAGGAAGACAAATATTTTATTTCCCAGATACATTCAATTTTATTTCCCAGATACATGCAATTATATATGCATAAACGAGAATGACAAGAGTATGCAATTCGTGGAAGAAAAAAGAAGTGATTTTGTGGAACCCCAAAACATAAGATTGACTAGTGCAATCTCTTTTGGATTTAGGAAGACAAATATTTTATTTTCTAGATACATTCAATTTTATTTCCCAGATACATGCAATTATATATGCATAAACGAGAATCATAAGAGTATGCAATTCGTGGAAGAAAAAAGAAGGGAAGAAAAAAGAAGTGATTTAATGGAACCCCAAAACATAAGATTGACTAGTGCAATCTTTTTTTTTTAATCCAATCAAATATATATTGATCATCTTTATGGAAGGAGGAGGGGCAGAAGATGAATATTGTGGAAGAAGATTATTGGCAAAATAATGCAGGAAGATAAAGTTATTGTGAGGGAGAAACAAGAAAAGAGAATTGAAACAAGAAAAGAAAAATGAACAGTTTGTGGAAGGAGAAGAAAAAATGAGATTTAAATCCCTAAAAATAATCCTATAATTAAGGATAAGATTAAATTTAATCACAAATTTTAAAAAAATAGTAATTACTTGATTAGTCAATTTTTAAGGGTAAATGTGGCAAGAGAATACAAATAAGCTGATGTGGACAATAAATTACTGAACCTAACTAAAAAATTAAACAAAATTGGACTACAACTAATAATGGCTCGTAAAATTGGAGTTATATTAAGTTTTTCCTAAATTTAAATTTCAACCGCATAATTTTTTTGCTGTAGAATATGAAAAAAAAAAAAGAAAAAAAAAAGACAACTGTTAGATCATAATCAAAAGTTTACAAACAAAAAAAAAAGCATTGTAATCTAGACCGGTGATCATCAACAGTCCAGAAATCAAACGACTCCCTTTTGCTCAAAAGTTACTGCTGGACAGCTAGGGTTCCTTGTCAAATGGGGCCTAGTTGTTGGCCACCACCAAAGTTTATTGACATGACATTCCGCAGGCATTCAAGAAGTATACTGTGAGAGAAATCTAGTTTGCTTGTCGTTTTGGTCATTTTCTCGATATCCTCTTCACCCTTGAATCGTTTTCATCTTTCACACTTTTTTTAATTTTTAATCGTCTGAATTGAATGAATTAAAAATGATTAAATGGTAAAAATTAATTAATGGATGTAGCGGAGATGAGGATGCTTCGTTGGATGTGTAGGCACACGAGAAATGATAAGATTAAGAATGAGGATATCCAAGGTAAAGTAGGAGTAGCCGAAATTGAAGGAAAGATGAGAGAAAATCGGTTACTGGTTTGAACATGTGCAAATAAAGCCTATTGATGCTCCGGTTAGAAGATGCGACTACATGATAGAGATTCAGGGCCGAAGGGGTAGAGGAAGACCTAGGAAAACTTTGGCAGTGACTCTAAGAAAAGACTTAGAGTACTTAGATCTAAAGGAGGATATGACACAGAACCGAGCACAATGACGTTCTAGGATTCATATAGCCGACCCCACTTAATAAGAAAAGGCTTTGTTGTTGTTGTTGTAAATGATAAAAATTAATGAAGTGTGTGGGTAAAAGATAAAATGGAGTGTATAAATAACACCACATGTACTTTTTCTCTGGACATCTTTGTCCGTCGCATTGAAAAACTACTACATGTCACGAGAAGCCGAAAAACAAACGCATTTACATTTAAATGTTGAATACCAAATCTTGTATAACAATCGAGGCAAGTTCAGACCTAGTTCCGCTTTTTTCCATTTTACAGCGATTTTTCACATGATTTTAAGTACCGGCAGGGATTGTGTAGCTGTAATTTTTTTTTTTTTCCCTATCGAGTGCGGGATTAAGCATTTAGTTTGGAAAATTAACATGAAGTTAAACTGTAAAAATCTACCAGACCATCTTAATGGAAGAGAAGGAAACTAAAGTATAGTATTTTACCGTCTTCGTTTCTTTCTCTACGGCTGCGTATTACCGTACAAATACTTTCATCAGACAGCCAAAATTACCACCTTTCCAGGTTTATCATGGTATCTAACGGAACTATACTATGTATTCCGACAATATAAACTACTGCCCTCTACTCTGGAGCGACTGAAGAAGTCGAAAAATGATGAGATACCGGACTTGTCGTGATTTCATAACCTCGAGTGAAGATCATTTACAAGACCTTCTTCTTCTGTGCTAGGCTGAAAAGGCCTAAAAGAGTTTAGACGGAGGTGGCAGCCGGAATCTTAATCTTTTCCACCTGCTCCTTACCAGCATAGGGTGTAAGCTCAGTATATGTTCTGGCATGAAGTCGTGCCTTGTCAATATACCCACCACGGGAGATCTCTGCAATTACGCGTAGATATTACAAGACATTAGTAAGAAAACTGCTGTAAGGAATAATATGGATTGGTAAGTAATTAGCATAAGATGTGACGGTTCATGTATAGCACAACACCGTGATGTTAGCTACAAAAACTTCAGGGAATGCGCACTTACATTGGACAACTTGGGTATCACTAGAAGGTGCCTTAAGCCAACTTCTCGGAAAAGTGTGAGCGCCTTTGCTAGTGACATTGTCTCCACAACAGTATAAGGTGAAGCATTAGTGAAGGGATGCAAGTCGATGAACATTTCCTTCTCTTCCTCAGTCAATTCTATGTCTTCTATCTTGTCACCGTTGCCTGAACCCCTCTTGGCAAAATCCACCGATGAGAAGAGTTTAAAAGAATTGGTGCTCGTCCGAACTGGGGTGGACACGAATGCTTTCTTCTTCAACAATTCAATAAGATGGGTGCGGAGGACTAAACCATACAAAACGGGGGTTTCAGACAATGGAGGCTCATCGATCACAGGGAACCCGTTATGCCCTGTAGTCCGGAGGACATGTACTATGTTACCAACCTTCTCAATGCCTTGAAAGAGTTGAAGTGGCCCTATTACTACATCCGCTACTGTCAGCTGCCTCATGTACGGTTCAACATGACTTTCCAGATAGGGAAGACCCTTTGCTTTCATAATAAGATCATATATATTACCATTGAAAGCATCCGCCGTTGTCTTGGAAACAAGAAGAACCACCATTATTAATGGCAACAATAACAGATTATTGGTCAATTCCAGTATAATTACACACAGCGAGACCGTCATCCTCATGGTTCCACCAAGAAAAGAAGCAGCACCCAACACAGCATATAGACCATGATTGAGATTCGAGTGTTTGCCAACTAGCATTCCGACAAAACGACCATAAGATGCACCAGTCACAATAACAGGTACGAAAAGACCAGCTGGCACAACAACCCCGTAGCTGAAGATACTTAAGAAAAAACAGGTGACGAAGAATATGATAATTGAGGAATATTGAAACTCAGAATCAGTGTTCTTGCTGAAGAGGTTTCTAATAGCATCATCATTTGTGTTAAATATGAGGCTGGCAAGGTCATTATAATGACCAGGAGGGCACTGAAACTTCTTGTAGTTACCAGACCGTCCAATTGTAGGGCAGGCTTCTGCTGCATGAGGTGGGCAAGGTCGACAAGATGCAAGCCATGGTAATCCAAAGAGAAGACAAGATGTGAAAACGGAGATTGTGCAAGCTATAAGAATTTTATACATGACACCTCTCCTGGACAAAGGAAAACATCAAGGGGACGTCAGTCAACAAATTATGGGTTTTCAGAACATCTTACATATACTAATCTGTGCAGACGTCACTAAGCTGAAGGGCTTACTCATGGATGATATTGTATACTCGGAGAACTCTTGTTAATAGAGAATTGTAAAGGCTGCCCAATATGCCGCCTACAAAGCCAAGGAGGAGCACGGGAGGCACATCGGTAATGTGATATGATATACTAGCTGAATAAACATCAAACATTATCAGCCCCCCAGTACCAAATAGCCCACATTTTCCGCTGTAGCAAACATCAATCAGAGCTCGAAGCACAATCGCGATTAGAGCAGTTGTAAAGAAAGCTCTCCACAGAAGTGCACTTCTCCACCTACAAAACAAAAACTCGGTTAGGTAAAAATGTGCCAATCTGCTGGATCCAAGATGTACGGTTAGGTATTGAATATTGAAACAAACGGAAACACTTGGGTTAAATGCAAGAAATATAATTGGAAATCCATTTTACACCCGTATGTCATAAGTAGGTCAATAATTGAGTCTAACAGAAATCATTCTTACTACTACTACAAACGAAAGCAACGACAAAACAAATGAGTTCAGATAGAGAAGTTAGTGTACCAAGATGCCATTTCTTCAAAAGCAAAGAGTACACCACCGACAGGGGAACGGAAAGAGGCAGCAATTCCAGCAGCTGCTCCACACGTTACAAGATCCCTACGGTCACGATCATTCTTGAAGTATCGCAGCCATTTCCATGTCAAGCCATACTTCTTCGATCCTCCCTGACCCACCAATGATGCAACACATGCACCGGTATGCACCATGGGCCCTGCCTTTCCGATAAGAAGAGACGATGACACCGCAGTAACACTACCAACAATCTGAAACAAAAGAAAAATATGAAATCTAGCAAATCGAATTTCGGTTGAATTCCTAAATTGCCATATGCAGAATTCATAATTATCTCACTGTGTAAGTTCAGATTACATGGTTGAATTCAAAAACTATCAAGTTGCTAACTTTCACACAAGGTAAGCAAAACCCAATTCAAACTTACAATTGGCAAAAGCAGCTTTGCTAACAAGCAATTCACTTACACAACAAAAGCACTTATAAACACAATCTCACAGAGTTAGCAAGTCACCTTAACAAACAAAGTCTTAATGGAAAATATTCTGGGCGCATCGACGCCGTTCAGGTAAGCCTTCACCTCCGGTATACCGGAGCCCGCGGCGGCCGGCGCCACCAAAGCCGTGATCACAACCGCAAACAGAGTGAGACCAAAATTCGAGAAGAAGAAGACAGCAAAAGCCAGCCAAAACCTGTAAATCCCCAATAACAAAAGAAAAAACAAAATTGAAGACAAAAATTCAAAGAAAAAACAACCAAAATTCAATCTTGAAGTGAAAGTCAGAGCTACCTGCGCTGCAACATCATGTTGGAAGTGACAACGAACTTAATTCCGGCGATGTTTTCGACAGCGAGGTTGTTGCAGAATCCGATGAGTCCGACAACGATGCCGATGAGGAAACACGAGACCCACTTCATGAATAGGTACTGGAACGCGTGGACCTTCCCGCGGCTCCGCCAGTCCTGCTTGAAGCACTCGTTCTCGAGAATCTCGTAATCGAGGCTCTCGATCGGGCAGACATTGGCGCCCACCAGAGCCACCTGCGACGTGGAGTTCGGGGCGGATCGCTGGCGCGAGATTAACGGGGCGGTGATGGATTCGGGGTCCTCCGCCGCATTGAGGCTGCCGTTGGTGTTTCCGTGGACGAACATGATTCTGTGTTTTGCAGGTGGCGGCGGCGCCAGGCGGAGCGTCGGGACACGGAACTCGATTGAAGTGTTAAAAGTAAAGTGGGTGTTTGCTTTTGTATATAATTGTGTCGGGGGACTCTCCCTCTCTCTCTCAATCTGTCTCTGTGGCTTCTTATCTGCAGAATTGGCTGGATTCGGGCCTCCACCGCTGTTGGGCGATGATACGCTGCTCCCGCTTGCATATTGTTCTATTATTTAATTTAGTTTGTCGTAATATATATATATATATATATATATATATATTAAATATATAAGCTTTTCAGTCAAAATAATTTTTTAGATGGGTTCTTGATTTGTTTATTATTAATTATTTTAATTATTTTGTGAAAATCTTTGTTAAATAATAAAATTACAAAAATACCCTTAAATTGTGTCAAATCGTTTTGACCATTGTTCATTAAATTTATGGTATATTTTTGTTTTGGTCCCTATTTAATAGATTTTTTTTTTTTTTTTTTTTTTTTTACAAAATGACTAAAATGATTGACAATGAATATACTCAAAAACTAGTTCTATATATTTTACTTTTACTATTTTTTAATTTTTTTTAATTTTTTTTAATTTTATAAATTTGCTATACTTGGAAATAGGAATTGAAGAGGAATCAAGTTTTCGCATTTTGCTAATGGAGTAGGATTGTTTGTCTTGTAAATCCTTCTTCTCTCTAATCCTTTCCTATTTGAAAGTGACACTAAATCGTGTAAACATCTTGTGTTGACTTCTTAACGGAGAAAAAAAGACAAAGAAAAAAGTGAGAAGGGAGAAGATTTGGAGTGGAAAAAATCATACTCATTTTTTAGTTCAAATGAGTTTATGAGTTGTAGTACACTTGTTTTTTTCGTTTTAAAAGCGTAATAGCATGTGCATTTATTGTGATAAAATGTTACTTCTTTTGTAATATGGATCAAGATTGGTTTCTTTTCCAAATATTAAAAACTTATTTATTACAATTCTTTATTATTTCTGTAACATCCTACATAGGGGGATGGATCTTGTAAGCCTTACATGTATATTCTCATCTCTACCTAGCACGATATTTTTTGGGAGCTCACTGGCTTCAGAGTGCCGATGAACTCTGAAGTTAAGCGAGTAGAGTACGAGAGCAATCCTATGATGAGTGACCCACTGGCAGACAATATCATGCTACGATGGAGTCGAACCCGATATATGATGGGGGCCCGAGCCGGGATGTGACAATTTTAACATTCACAACATTTTTAAGTTTGTTTAAACCGCTTCAATAAGCACAAAACAAACAAAAGGCGCAAATAAAAACCATTATTTTAGTACTATACTATTATTTTTATGAGAATAATTTATAAACAAAATCAAATATTAGGAAATTAGCAAACGTTGACTTCCAAAACAAAAACCAATTAAAAATACACGTCATCATAACACGTGGAGTGGCTAAGTGATTGTCCTCATGCAGAATACGTAGGCGCGAGCGCAGGTAGTGAAAACATCTTACGTGTGGGCCCCGGGGTGGTACCCGTGGCGAATCGATGAGTTGTATATCGTTGTTTTACGCAGAGAGATGGTCCCACATAATCCTCTACGCCGTCGTTTTGCTCACCTACCATTCTCCCAGCACGTGCCCTGTCCAATGTTCTTTTTTCTTAAAAATCCAACCTAACAAAAATGGAACAAGTCGACTGGTTGGTTGCGATAACGTGCTTGTTCGTTTACGTTTGACTTCGAAACTTATGTTTTTGCTGTAAAAATTCAGTTAGATTATTATTTTTCATATGATGAAAAAGCTCGATAATAACTAATAGAAAAGATTTGAAATTTTATTATTGTATGTCATTTTTAATCAATAGATTGTAAAATTTTTAATTGACAAATTGATTATACGATTGAGGATAATGATAATGAGATTAAAATTTTAAATCAAATTTGCAAGTCTTTTACCAAGTTTTTTGTTATTACATTTAGTATTTTTCTTTCCCAAAAGAATAGAATTCTCAATAAGTCAATTATATGGAATGGGACGCAATAACTTGTGCAGATAGGCGGTGGAAAGACTTTGAGACACTTGAGAAAAATATGACATAAATCGTAAAAAGAGCAACACTATTCTTATCAACATGGTAGCTTTAAAATCCATGGCATGTGCATCTTCAAATACTAAGAGCAAAAAAAAGCTTAGCGCAGGCGATATAGGTAATCCATCAACAATCGAGAGCCAAAAATTTGATTCGCACTAGCAGCCAATTCAATGTACCGTATCACAATCTAAAAAAATAACTAAAATACAAACTTGTAACTTAGTTTATAGATATCCGCTTTTGCGCCCAAAGTCACGAGATTGACTTTCATGTCCTAGTGTCCTGAACAAATGGGTGGCGCGTAGTTGCCATTAGGCTAACGGTCGCTTGTCAGACGTCAACTATTTTCGCTCCGATCTCAATTTGTAAATTATGTATTTATTTTGTTTTGTAATTGTCTTGTTGTCGGCTACGCAAAGCATTTCCTTCACTCTCTGCGTCGGAGACAGCAACCCCCGCCCTCCACCCACCGCTTCCTCCGCCCATATCTTCACTACCCCGAAGAAAAATTGAGAAAATCGACATTAGCTACCATAATTAAGACTCAATAATATTAATTATAATTATATAATTATATTAGCATTTACGATTTGATACCCCACTATCTCTCTCTCTCTCTCGCGCTTTCTCTTACCAACCGAGCAGCAGCAGCCCCAAATCTCGACCAATCCAATGGCCTTCGTTTTCGGATTATTTCTCGGAATACTTGTCGGACTCGCAATCATTGTCCTCTTTGTCCGGTTCGAGAACCACCGGTCCAAGCTCCGGTCCGAGCTGGCCACCACTGTGGCTGCTTTTGCTCGAATGACCGTCGAGGACTCCAGAAAGCTCTTGCCTCCCGAGTATTACCCATCCTGGGTCGTCTTCTCTCACCGCCAGAAGTTGAGCTCCCAACTCTCTCTCTCCCATTAGAATCTCCGGCGACTAATGTATTTTCCTTGAATTTTTCAGTTGGCATGGCTCAATTCTCATCTCGAAAAGATGTGGCCTTATGTCAATGAGGTAAAGATCCATCTGGGGTTTCTGTATTTATCCAAAATTTTAGAACTTTGCCAAATTTTGATGATTTTTTGAGGTGGGTTTCTAAAAATGGTGGTGTAGGCAGCGTCCGAGCTGATAAAGACATCCGTGGAGCCAGTTCTGGAGCAGTACAGACCAATCATATTGTCCTCACTGAAATTTTCCAAGTTCACTCTTGGTACGGTGACACCTCAGTTTACAGGTCAGTTCAATTTATTTAACGATCGAAAAAAAGGTTGTCTCTTTTGAATTCTTTGTGCTTGTTTGGAAAATGGGGTTTCCTTATTTTTCATAAAGATGTCACATTTCCTTATTTTTCACCACAACTTGATTGATCATGTAGATAATCCCTAAATATATCTGTCAGTCATTAACTTAGAGTTAGGCACACTCCTAAGTAGTTTTTAAGTTGAATCGCGTTATGGCCGTGAGCATGCCAGTTGTTTCTGGTTCTATTTTTAAGCATTATGTATAGTATAGATGATAGTGGATTAAAATCTTCCAATTTGTTATGGTTTTCGATATCATTAAAAGCGGGAGCGTTAAATGAAGCTTCTGCAAAGCAATAAGCATTCATTAATGTCGGGGTTGTAATGAGAGAGTTTTTTGTTCTTTTCATTAGGGGTTTCTATAGTTGAAGGTGGAGGTGACAGTATCATTATGGAGTTGGAAATGCAGTGGGATGGAAATCCGAGTATAATACTAGCTATCAAGACTTTAGTTGGCGTAGCACTACCAGTGCAGGTAATCTGCAACTTAATGCCTACTTGCTTCCTTCAATAGAGGTTTTTTTCTAAAGCTCATGATAAGAATATATGTACTTTTATCTGTGATTGATAACTGATATGTTGATTTTCAGGTGAAAGATATTGGATTCACGGGGGTATTCAGGCTGATCTTCAAGCCTCTGGTTGATGAGTTTCCGTGCTTTGGAGCTGTTTGCTACTCATTGAGAGAAAAGGTAGCTTCTATTTCTAGAGCCATGTTTAAAAGAATTTTGAATGGAGGTTACATATTTCGCATAAAATAGCATATTTGTAGGATTATTGATATTCTGTCATCAATAGCTAGCTGAATGCTGTTAGATTGCAGGAGACACAAGCAACAACTCCGATTTAGCAACTGTGTTTTGTTGTTTGCAGAAAAAGTTAGATTTTAAGCTTAAGTTGTGGGTGGCGACATATCTGCATTACCTGGGATATCTGATGCAATTGAGGTTTGAGCAATTCCATAGTTTTTTTCTTTCTTAATTGATTCTTGCACTCATGTATGATTTATATGTTTGTCATCTGGCAACTCACATGCAGACATCGGGTTTAATACATCCTTGCTTGTAAATTAAATCAAACCAATTGAACGGCTGCAAGGGATGACTTTAGTCTTTAAAAAATATACGACTTAGTAGGTCTTATTTCACACATGCAGGATCAGTTTTATCATACATGCTTTGCATTAAAATGAACAGTACCTTCCAACACTAGAAGAGTTAGGAGATCTTATTAAATATATGCAGCATTTGTTTTATCATACATACTTGGTTTAATTGAGAGGCATAATATTTATACAGGGGACAATACGGGATGCCGTTGAAGATTCAATTACATGGCCTGTTCGGAAAGTTTTTCCCATTTTTCCAGGGGATTACAGGTAAAGGAGAATGCACAGGATTGTCCATTTGTCACCTATCAATATTTATTAATCATTTATTCAATGGTCTATGTTTTTAATTAATGTTTTTTTTAACGCTATTTTGATTACCTTCATTTGGTTAGTGATCTGGAGTTAAAGCCAGTCGGAATGCTAGAGGTGAAACTTGTGCAGGCAAAGGAGTTAACAAATAAAGACGTGGTGGGAAAATCAGATCCGTTTGCAAGACTATACATACGACCTTTACCCAACAGAATGAAAAGAAGCAAAACCATTGTAAATATTCGGATCTTCTTATATATCCATGCATTTACTTATTTGTTTTTCTTTTAATTGGGTTTGAAGAAACTCTATATTTTTGTCTTCCTCGTCAGAACAATGATTTGAATCCAATCTGGAATGAGCACTTTGAATTTATTGTTGAAGATGAATCGACTCAACATTTGGTGGTTAAAGTTTATGATGATGAGGGATTTCAAGCATCTGAGCTCATTGGATGTGCTCAAGTACAACTAAGTGAGCTTCAGCCTGGTAAAGTGAAGGATGTGTGGTTGAAGCTGGTTAAAAGCTTGGATGTCCAAAGAGATAATAAAAACCGCGGGCAGGTTAGAAGACTAATCTTCATCCTATGGGTCACTAATAACAGCAAGTAATTTTGAGATGCTTTATGGATCATATACTATGGATGGCTATTGGAATTTACACCCTTCTGTGGATGGCTACTGGAACTTGAAATTAGATCATATTATATGCTCCCACCCGCTGTAGTTGTATATTCTTTCTGATATATTATGAGACGAATTTTCACTTTTTCTTAAACGTTTTTCTTTCTGTTTTAGGTGCATTTGGAGTTGTTGTATTGTCCATTTGGCATGGAGAATGGCTTCGCCAATCCTTTTACTTCCAACTCCGCAATGACCTCTTTGGAAAAGGTGCTTAAAAGTGGAATGAACGGAACAGATGCTACTGAAAGTGAAAAGGAAGCGGCACAGAAGAAAAGGGAGGTCATAATTAGAGGAGTACTAACTATTACTATGATATCTGCTGAGGACTTGCCACCTGCTGATCTCATGGGGAAGGCTGATCCTTACATAATACTCACCTTAAAGAAATCAGGAACGAAAAACAAAACTAGGGTAAGATTCTGAATGCCAAAAGACCGTGTAGTTTTAAGGGAATCTTAATGAAACACTCCCGGTACTGTTCACTTTAAACGAAAATGACATTTTTCCTTTGAAAAGTCACTCCTGGTACTATTCACTTACGCCTTTATTTTGTCATTTTCGTTAAAACTAAAGTTTTTGAGAACTTTTTGTTAGTTTTCCTTAGTTTTAATTGCCCGTCATAAGGCTTGCTGCCTTGTTCATTTGTGTAGTTGTAGCCTTTAAGTTTTGTTTTGTATTTTTTTTTTGGTCAAACAATAGATTTTGTTAGATTAGCCACCAACGGGGTTTAAACCCACGCCGTCATGCAAGGGCTCAACACTTTTCCACCACTGTGGTAAAGGGCCACTTACTCCTATAAGTCTCGTTGATTTTTAAAATTATTTTTCCTCTCAGGTAGTTAATGACAACTTGAATCCTGTTTGGAATCAAACTTTTGACTTTGTTGTCGAGGATGGATTGCATGACATGCTCATACTTGAAGTCTGGGACCATGACACTTTTGGCAAGGTACTAGTCCTTTCAGTTCATATGATTTTTACTTTTGGACGTGATGGCAATGTTTCTCAACTGTCTCATGGTGGCTTTGACATTTACTTTCGAACGAGCATTAACCTAGGCCCTTTTTGCATCGTGCAGGACTATATGGGCAGATGCATCATGACCCTCACTAGGGTTATCATAGAAGGGGAATACCAAGACTCGATACCGCTAGATGGGGCCAAATCCGGGAAATTGAACGTCCAGCTTAAGTGGAATGCACAACCAATTTACCGTGATTCTTAATTGATATCTGTCGACTGTTGCATGGCTAACGGTGGATCGAAGATGTACTATCTGCCCAGAGATGTATACAGAGCACCAAAGACACCTTCACAAATGCTTGATTCACAAACATGGAAGGTACTCAGATGGTGTACGTTTAGTTTTTTCGTAGTACCTGTCATAAATGTAGTGAAGTTGTATACCGTATTGCCGATCAGATTCTACGTGCGGGGTTACTCAGTTCCTCTTTGCTTGGATTGTCAGATTATCGACCTGCGTTACTGTGTATTTGTAGCGGGATTCTGCATCATCTTCGCCTTTGGTTACGGTTTGCTATTCCATCTTTTCCAGCTGCCTTGTGGTTCGTATGGAGGGGTTCTTATGTCACTGCCCGCCCGACTGTCGCGGAAAATGCAAGTTAATAGGATCGGATGCCACATTGCGAGCTTTGGTGACATTTTGGAATTTTGACCGAGTTAATTTTATGCTGGATTTTCTCATTTGATTCAGTGGTGCCCGATGACTTGGTTGCCTTATTTGCTCGCATTTGTTTATCTATGTATGCGAAAGCTGGCAACCACTTCGGCTTGCATTCTCGTCCTGTAATGTTGCAAGATGATTTGAACAGTCTATTTTCTATGCCTCTCTTAATGTGCTCAAAATTAACTAAATCCGAAATCTCGTTGGCATTTAACACTAGTCAGCAAATATGCGAGCCATGTTTCTCCCTAAGACACTAAGATTTTGGCTTGATTAACGGGACAATTTAACGATTTGAAATTTTGCAGTGTGGAACTTTAAAGGCTAACTTAGAGTTCAGACGGTTCCAATCATCAACCAACATTGTTGAATAAAAAGAACAGGCAAAATGATTTATTAATGATCTTTTCGGTTATACCTGATTTTCACTAATGCGATGGTATTTTATTGGTATTACAGATGCACAACGAGATACCTTGGAATTGTAACTTCTACACGTTAGATCTTTCTTGTTGATTTTATATTGAAGAACTGTTTCTATTTTAATGTAATGCTTGATTTTTCATACTAACAAGTATGATTTTCATTATTAGAGTGTGTTTAACATCGAAAAAATTATTCATTTTGTTTTGCGTCCCTCCAGGATTTTGTATTTAACTCCTTCAAATAGTCGAAATAGTCGAAAACAAAATTAAAAATCCATAGCTATTACGTCCGTCTCGATACAAGCTATTACAGCATCTCTGCATTCTTCAATGAGATATCAATCGAGCAAAAGCCCGATCGACGTTACCGATTATTTATCAATACATAGCAATTTCGTTCATTAACTTCCTAACATTATGCTTCTTCAGTCCTGTGATTCGTACCCCTGCATTACCGAAAAGTGATCGCTCGCTGTTTTGGCACCAAAAACATGAATACCGTATGGCTATGCTCGCCAGTACTGGTTGTGGAATACAAATGCGTCCGCTGCGGTTTTCTTCCCTTCATCATTGCGGTTCCAATGGTAGAGTGCGTGTGTCCTGTTTATAAGCTCAAGCGTGGAATGCCCGTAGCTTGCTTCTCGGAATGCAGAATAAGCTGGTTGTGGATCTCTATACCTACAGAAACCATAGAACATGTGTTAGTCATGACTGTCTGCACAAAAGGAACTCGATTTCCCTACCGACTGTTAGTGATCAAATCTACGAAATGAAATTATGTCTCTTAAATTATGCTATCCTGTTTCGACTGACCCTTTTACTTATTAACGAAACAAAAATCGTAATAAAGAAACTAGACTAAAGTTCCTACCGCGCAGCCAGTCCTTCATTGTTCCCTCCATCTCCAACATTTACGTATACAGGAGCTGATTTGTCTGGTATGGGGTAACAGATACCACTCGTTACATTGTATTGTATATTGGAGATACGATACTGAAATAAAAAGGGAAGAAAAACGTCACCCACAATCTAGCGATGAAATGACACAATATGTGTGAATAACAAGAAATGTCCGTTAAGTATTACAAACTTCAATAGACCTCGATGCTAGAATAACAGAATTGTGTACACAAAGATGTACGGAATTATAAGATTCTACTCCAACGTTGAATGCCGTACCAAGTCATATCATATAATAGGATACAATAGAAAACATAAAAGGTAAAGAATCATACCGATCTCTCATAAGCATGGACGTGGCCAGCAAACACCACATCAACTTTGTATTGAACGAACCAACTCTCAAACACCGCTCGCATGCTTTCACCTTCCATGAAATGAGCGTCATTACTATTGTACATTGGAATATGCATAAGGACTATGAGCCAAGGTGTCTTTTCCCTGTCAACCTTTTCCAATTCTTCTGCTAGCCACATATATTGAGGCGTGTACTTCACTGGTGACAAAATTAATAATTGATGTAAGGTGTACTGGCACAAAATAGAAAGTGTATGTTCACATATTTGAAAGTGTAGGAATGTACAATTACCAAATGGGGAGTAACTGGACAACACGATTATATGAGCTGATGCACGTCTGATGGCATACCAAAGAGGATTGCTACTATTAGAGGCCAGATAAGGAGTAGCATACCGGTGAAGATAGTTCTTGAATGGAGTAACTTCTCCCTAGAATATGTACAAAACTAATAGTTAGATAAACCAATCATTTTTAGGTTGCACTGTTAACGTGATAGGAGTTGCAGAACACAACAAATCATGTATATAAACTTATTTAGATGTCACTAATATTTTACAACTTTTTTATGTTGCGGATATATTTTCATTGCATAGGGTTCTAAGGCAGAATAATAAAAAAAGACTTATAGTGACAAAAGTAACTCAGACAGTTAGATATGCTTGGTACCTTACCATAATAGGCCTGTAATCAATGTCATGATTGCCAGCAGACCACATCCATGTCTGATATGCAGTACTTTGCTCAACGAATCGAGCCCATGTGTCCCACCGTAAACCTATGTCATTATACTCATATCTATCAGCATAGGAAAGATCTCCGACAAATAAAACGGCCTGTCCTGAACTATTCATATAGTGCTCAAGAGTTGACAGAGAGTTAAACGTCTGACCCAAATCACCTGCAACATACAGATAATGATTTATTAGGAGAAACTACAAAATTCAACATTATTTTACACAAAGAATGACAAGAATTCCTAGGGTACAAGTATATCAGGCTGTGGCTCACAGCTTAGAGAAACTAACTGTTATCGGACCCTTTGCAGAGAGAAAACAACTCACCTATGATCCCAAATGTGTAGTGAGAATTTGGGTCGACCTTTGGAGGTGTTGTAAACCAAAATTTTCGAGATGAACTGCCATTTCCAATTTTGTAATAGTACTTTGTGTCATACTGAAAACAAGAAACAATTGATGGTTTAGTGAAACTATAAGCAAGTGAATGAACAATTTCTTATATTGAGTCTAAATCATACAACAAGGTGGAAGCATAATTTGGGGAACTTGGAGGCACCAATTAACAGAGCCGATAAAAACTTTAAATTTACATTATTGACTGAGACGACATCATTGACACAAGCTTTTCATGATAGCAAACCCAGAGAGAAAATCACACCATATATGCTTCTACTAGTATACTTCACAAAGTAATCATGGCTACCTCAAGGCCACCAACAAGACAGTGATGGATGTAGCCAGACTTATAGTGATAGAAGGTGTAGTTTGTCATGACGCCCTTAGCAGAAAACTCATATTTTTTCTCTGATGTACCATACTGCACTTTACTATCCCCTGGTTCATCAGGCGTAACCCATGAGATGATTACAGCCTTTCCATCATAGTCACCTTGGGTGATATGCACCTGCAATGAATGTTTGAAGTGTATAAGAACATTACAACTCAAAACATCAATATTGTAAAGGAATTTTCATGCTATTCATATTAATTATAGCACTTTCGAGTTAATCAGAATTGTTGGAAGAAATAAGGGACCGTAACTTTCCACATCCTGAATTCTGAAAAACTATACAATGTGCCTATTTTTCTACAGCGATATCGAATAGCTATGAATTCTCACTTGTTGTGGAGCATTGTAACCCCTTGGCACCGCAAATACTTTATGGTCCAGAGGCATATCAACCGCTGGATACTCAGATCGTAAGAAAGTACTCGTAATTCCTGCTGCATTCCCATTCGCCAAAAAGCTCAACACGACAAAAGAGGTAAGAATAATTCCAAGCAATATGGACTCCATCCTAGTAACCGCTGCCATCATTGTTCACTCAGCAAATTACAGTAAAACTAACTGCACCAAAAAGAAGAACAATAAGCAATCAGCCATATCGATGACCAAGTATCCACTGCCAGACAGTTGATAGACACGAACACCAACTAAAGATGAAACATTGATGAAAATCGAAAGGGATGGAAGACCATTTTTGCTTTTTCCGTGGGAAATGATCCTCCGCACAGTCGAGGCCATATCAAATTTTCAAACTTTCACAAACCCTTTAACTTTTACTTCAATAAATTTGCAATTTTTAATCCAACAACGAGTATAAATCACTCCAACAAGATCAAAGCATCAAACTTTATTAAAAAAAAAAAAAAAAACCACTTATTAGAGTTAGAGATAGATATAAACAGCAGATTTGAGTAAACCATTACAATTACTAATCAAATTGAACAAATCCCATTAAAATTCCAATTGAATTTCTGCTGAACACCATCATTTCCAATCCACATTAACACACAAGAACACAACTAAATAACTAAAAACTCATTCATCATTGACTAGTTAGCACTAAAAGAAACTTTCAAAGTTAGAGAGAGAGAGAGAGAGAGAGAGAGAGAGAGAGAGAGAGAGTACCAGAAGTTCATAGCTTGAAGAGGCTAAGGAGCGAGAGAGAGAGTGAGCTATATAATAGTCGGAGGGGAAGGCGTATGAGTTGTCGAGGCGCAGCGTATGTTAGAGGAAACCATTATCCTCATCCAGGCTGGCTCGTAGTAGAAAGCGATATCTTGGTGCGCAGCTGGCGAGCTGGGACTGGTCAGTTCTGATTACTATCTGATGAAACATGGTCCATCACCGGTCGATACGGCCATCCAAAGGACATGGGGGACCTAACTCAGTGCAGCGCATATGATCAACGTGCTCGAAATCGGTTACGGACCCCGAGTTACAACCCAGCTGAAAGTTGTGAGCCCAAGCCAAAAGAAAACCCCAAAGAAATCCTAACGACTTCCATCCCCCAACGCCGACGTGGGAAAAACCCCAACCACCCACCTTCCTCGTAAATCGAAAAAAAAAATGGCGGTGTTGATTACTGCATGCAGAATCGGATTGCGGGATCGATGGGGAGACGATGCAATGGGAATGGAAAGGGAAATGATTGTTGGAAATCATGGAGGTGGAGGGAAGGGTGGAGTGAAATCGGGGCATCTGGGCAACGAAACCAGAGGGTGGTGAAAAGGGTCAAACCAGCAAGAGGGCAGCGGAAAAGAAGGGAGAAAAGGAGCAAGGGTCTGCCACCGGCGGCTCAAAGAGGAGATCGGAGAAAGTTGCACAGTCGCACACGGCCGGCGAGAAGCTCTCAAAGAAGAGGGAGACTCTCACGGTCTCACCAGAATGAAGAGAAATTCAAGGAAATTATTTATTCGTTTAACGGTTGTTCAATAATTATTTAGTCAAATTTATAATTATTTATCAATAATAGTATTTTTACCATAATTATTCGGACAGCTACATCATCTAAATTAATTGGCATTTAATCAAAATGTTAACCAAGAATTAATAAAAAGATTGTTAATTAAATGATGATTGTGGTATACGAGAAGTTTCATTCCCCCTAAATTATGTTAAATTAAAAATCAACATAATTCAAATCACGTTAAAGAGCAGAGTTAATACTTGTCACCACAACTGTGATAGAGGATCACTTGCAATATTGCAAGATCCAAAAGAAATAAAAAGATGGAAAGGTAGAATGACAAATTCAACCGATAAGGTTAGTGGCATAAGTAGTGGATTGCCTTAGTAAGTAAGTTTTTTTTTTTCAACTTATGGTGTCTCATAGTCAAATTTTTATTCAAGGTAGAGTTAAGTAGTGGATTCGCTTAGTAATTAAAGATTTGTTGGGTAGTCTACTTGAATCTAATTTTTTTTTTTTAACTCAAAAACAATTTTCAAGTTTTAAGCCTTAAAAACTTGTTTGATAGTGATTATTTTCAAAAACTGAACTCAAGACTAACTCAAAAATATAGCATATTATATAAAAACACAAAAAGTGAGTTTTTAGAGATTTTAAACTTAAAGTTACTCTTTTCTTTTCTCACCCTCCTCCCCCTCACTCCAAACCTCTCTCTCTTCTCCGTGCTCATCCTTCTGTCCCTTTTCTTCTTTGTCTCTCCTCCACTCCACTCTTCATTCTCTCTCCTCCTTTCTATCTCATCTGATTCTCTCTTGTTTCTCTTTACTTTGATCATATCTTACTTTCTTTTGTCCTCTCCCTATTTCTCCCTGTCTTTGAATCTCTTTGTCCAGTTTAAGTTTTAATATTCAAAATTTTTAAATCTTATACCAAAAAAGTTTTTAAATCTTAAAAAAAATTGTTTTCAAGAAATGTTTTAAAAAAATAACAAAAATTTTTAGATAGGATTTTTTTCTTCAACTTATTGTGTCTCATATTCAAATTTTTATTAAAGGTAGAGTTTCAAGGACTTATATCTAAATAATCCAAATTAAAAAAACATAAATAGCATCCCCAACTTGAAGAATGACAGACCATCACGGATGATCCAGCAGTTGTGTGAATTACACAATAGTGGTCAGAGGAAGATTAAAATGTCTTGATAGTTCCGATCATCAAACAACATTGTTGGATAAAAACAATAGGCCAAACTGGTAATCCGAATGAACATTCGAAATAGTCGTAAAACAAAACTAAAAATCCAATACCATGAACAAGCGACAAGGGATCATATTGCTTATTTTACGTAAGAGGTCTCGATACAAGCCAATCCAATGTTTCAATTTCCAAGCAACTCTGCATTCTTCATTGAGATTTCTCAAGCAAAACACCCGACAGATGTGATCGGTTTCTATCAATGCGTAGCAATTTCGTCCATCATTATCTTCCTAACATTATGCTTCTCCAGTTTTCGCTTCCCGTGATTCGCACCCCTGCATTACCAAAATTCAATCATATCAGACGCGTATGCTGGTTTACGTTACCAGAAAGTGAATCGCTCGTTGCTTTGGTACCAGAAACTGAATGGTACGGCTGTACTCACCAGTATTGGTTGTGTAATACGAATGCATCCACTGCGGTTTTGTTCCCATCATCATTGCGGTTCCAATGGTAGAGTGCGTGTGTCCTGTTTATCAGCTCAAGCGTCGAATGCCCGTAGCTTGCTTCTCGGAATGCAGAATAATTTGGTTGTGGATCTCTAAACCTACAGAAACCATGGAACATGTGTTAGTCATGCATTTCGACCGACCTTTTATCAAAGAAACGAAAATCGTAATGAAAAAGCTCGACTAAAGTTCCAACCGTCCAGCAAGTCCTTCTTGGTTCCCTCCGTCTCCAACAGTTATGTATACAGGAGCTGATTTGTCTGGTACGGGGTACTGGTAACCACTTGTTACGTTGTATTGTATATTGGAGAAACGATACTGAAATTAAATGGGAAAGAAGAACATGAATCTCAATCTAGCGATGAAATTTATAATCGATATAAGATGAACTGGCACAATATGTATGAATAAAGCGCAATGTCCGTTGAAGTGTTACAAACTTAATGGACCTCCATGCTAGAGTAACAGACAGTTTGTGCACGAAGATGAACGGAATTATAAGATTCTACTCCAATGTTGAATGCCATATCAACAACATATCATATAAACGGCGAAGAATCATACCGATCTCTCATAAGCATGGACGTGGCCAGCAAACACCACATCAACTTTGTATTGAACGAACCAACTCTCAAACACTGCTCGCATGCTTTCACCTTCCATGTAATGAGCCTCATTACTGTTGTATATCGGAACATGCATAAGGACTATGAGCCAAGGTGTCTTTTCCCTGTCAACCCTTTTCAATTCTGCTTCTAGCCACGTCCATTGAGGCGTGTACTTCACTGGTGACAAAGTTAAAATTCGATGTAAGGTATACCGGCAAAACATAGAGTCTGTTCACATATTTGCAAGCGTAGGAATGTACAATTACCAAATGGAGAGTAACTGGACAACACGATTATGTGAGCTGATGCGCGTCTGATGGCATACCAAAGAGGGTTGCTACTACCAGAGGCCAAATACGGAGTAGCATACCGCTGAAGATAGTTCTTGAACGGAGTAACTTCTCCCTAGAATATGTACAAAACTAATAGTTAGATAAAGCAACAATTTTTAGGTTGCACTGTCAACATGATAGGAGTTTCGGAACACAACAAATCATGTATACAGTTCTAAGGTCACAGAATAATCAAAAAAGACTTGTAGCGACAAAAAGTAACTCAGACAGTTCTCTCAAGATATGCTTGATACTTTACCATATAAGGCATGTAATCAATTTCATGATTTCCCGTGGACCACATCCATGACTGATATGCAGTACTTTGCTCGACTAATCGACCCCATGTGTCCCACCGTAAACCCACGTCATTATACTCGTATCTATCAGCATAGGAAAGATCTCCGACGAACAAAACAGCCTGTCCTGCACTCTTCATGTAGTGCTTAAGAGTCGACAGAGAGTTAAATGTCTGACCCAAATCACCTGCAACATACGGACAATGATTTATTAGGAGAAACTACAAAATTCAACATTATTTTATGAGTGATAAGAATCCGAGGATACAAGTATATCAGGCTGTGGTCACGGCATCGAGAAACTAACTGTTATCGGACCCTTTGCAGAGAGAAAACAACTCACCTATGATCCCAAATATGTAATGAGAATCTGGATCTATCTTTGGAGGCGTTGTAAACCAAAATTCTCGAGATGAATCACCATTTCCAATTTTGTAGTAGTACTTTGTGTCATACTGAAAAAAAGAGAAGAAATAATTGATGGTTTAGTGAAACTATAAGCAAGAGAATGACCAAGTTCTCATATTTGGGAAACTCGGACACACCAATTCACAGAGTCGATATATAACTTTAAAATTTACGTTGTTGACTGAGACGACATCATTGTCACAAGCTTTTCGTGATAGGCAAACCCGGAGAGTGAAAATTGCACCACATATGCTACTGCTAGTGTACTTCACAAAGCAATCATGGTTACCTCTAGGCCATCAACAAGACAGTGATGGATGTAGCCAGACTTATACTGGTAGAAGGTGTAGTTTGTCATGACCCCCTTAGCAGAAAACTCGTATTTTTTCTCTGAGGTACCATACCGCACTTTACCATCCCCTGGCTCGTCGGCAGTAACCCATGAGATGATTACAGCCTTTCCATCATAGTCACCCTGGGTGATATGCACCTGCAATGAATGTTCAAAGTGTATACGAACATCAAAACTCAAAACATCAATACTGATAACGGATTTTCATCCTGTTCATATTAAACGTAGCACTTTTGACATCCCGAATTATGAAAAACTACTATTTTTTCTACATCAATATCAAAATAGCTATGGATTCTCACTTGTTGTGGAGCATTGTAACCCCTTGGCACAGCAAATACTTTATTGTTCAGAGGTATATCAACCGATGGATACTCGGATCGGATGAAAGTACTCGTGATTCCCGTTGCATTCCCATTCATCAAGAAGCTCAACGCGACAATAGAGGTAAGAATAATTGCAAGCAACGCAGACTCCATCCTAGTAACCGCTGCCCTCATTGTTCATTCACCAAATTACAGTAAAACTAACTGCAGCAACAGAAGAAGAACAAGCAATCAGCCATCTGCGAGACAGTTGGATTAACACGAACACCAGCTAAAGACGAAAGGGATAGAAGCCCATTTTCGATCTTTCCGCGGAAAATGATCCTCCTCCCAGTCGAGGCCATATAAAATTTTCAAACTTTCACAAACCCTTTTGACTTTTACTTCAAAAAATTTGCAATTGCAGTCCAACAACGAGCATAAATCACTCCAACAAGATCAAAGCATCAAAATTTATTCAAACAATCACATATTAGAGTTAGAAATAGATATGACCAGCTGATTTGAGTAAACCATTACAATTACTAATCAAATTTAACAAATCCCATTGAAATTCTGCTAAATACAACATTTCCAATCCACTTTAACGCACAAGAACATAACTAAATAACTAAAAACTCACTAATTATTGACTAATTAGCACTAATATTCTGACAAATTAAATAGATCGAACAGAAAAAAAGAAACTTTCAAAGTTAGAGAGAGAGTACCAGAAATTCAGAGCTTGAAGAGGTTGAGGGGAGAGGGTGTTCAACTAAATAGTAGTTGGAATTTCTAATCAATTATATTATCGTGTTTCTGAAATCCTAAAAGATTTCTCATCCGCTTGGCTCGTCCCAAGCGATATAATTCCTGTGCGCGGCAGCTGGCCAGTTTGGAGTGGTCAGTTCTGGTTTTTGTGAAACCCACAAGGTACCGGCGTGTGCGTTGTCAGATGATGTTGGTCCTTCTTGTCTATTTGTAAATTATTGATAGTAATTTGGTAAATTACTGATTATTATTCCATGAAACATCATCGCTCGATTTCCCCATCCAAAGGACATGTGATCAAAAACGGAAATCGAGATTTTTTTCTTTATTTTTTACGATTTGTATTCGTTTATTTGGCTAGTCTATCTTATAAAAATCAAGTTTAGATCTTCGAATTCCTCTTTTGGATGATCCAAATTATGTAGTGGATCAGCTACGAATGCGACACTGAAATGGTATATGAATTTCTCCTAAGTCACCAATAAACATCAACTTGTCAAAAGCAGTCGAATTTAAAATTATTTTGTAATCCAAGAGTTATTTAATAAATTTTTTTAATCAAACACTAAAATTTTGACAACGTTAATCAAATAGTTAATAATTTTAATTTAATAATTTTTTTTGAAGAATTGATTTTTAAAGTGTGATGTGAAAAAGTAAATAATTTCAATCACCTTAAAACATTGCAAGGTTATTTCTGATTTATTATTGGATGATAGTCTTGATAGTTAAGTTGGTGCGGAACACTCAAATGGACTAATAGATAGTATAAATCTCTCGATGCACATACTCCGACAAAAAAATCTGGAATGAGTCTCAACCCGTAGTTGGGGGCAACGACTCATCATAGATGACCCAAGGAGGGCAAAGACATGATATACTCATGGCTTACATCTCTTTCTTAAATCCCAAAACATCATAAACTCGTAACCATGCGTGGGCCAAACACAATACCCACACCCACACATTCATAAATAATGATTCAACCCCATGAATCGGGAACCATCGATAGTTCATTGCTAACTATTTGGATTGTTTCTTATTGCGTTTGGTAGAAAAATATTAAACGTATTTCTAGTCATAAAAAGTATTTTGTGTGAAACTATTCATTCAATGAAGCAGTTGAAATTTTAATTGAAAAATCAACGTGTTTACGTAAATACACTTTTAAACAAAAAAATGTTTATAAGCATAAGTGTCTTTTACATAAATTTGTCTATTGTTCACAATTCATTTGGAATTGCTTTTAAAATGACTGAAAGCGTTTTTGGTAAAACTATTTTGAGTTTCAAAAGCACTTCTTAAGATTCACTTTCAAACAAGTCGTAAAGCAATAAAAGTTTTAAAAATAAGAGAATTTAAGAAGAGCAACTTTGTGTACGAAAATCATTGCTTGGGGCTTTCTAATGCATGGTAGCCTTCAAATATTAATCATAGAACTCAACTCAAACTATGGTTTGGATTCTCTACTTATCCTTTCCTTTTTCTACAATGGGATTAAAATATCGTCTAAATCGAACAATGAGTCAACAAGAAATTGTTATGAAACTTTAGTTAGTTTTAATCGTATAAGTCAAACAATCAGAACAACTAGCTTGTTTGTTTGTATTCGGTTTTAAATCTCGCTTGTCATCATATATACTTGGGAAACAAGTTACGCGGTTCAGAAGATTTCCATGTGTTATAGCTACCCATACTATCATGCCAAAATTATGGCAAAGTTGACCACGTCACCAAACAATCTAGCCATCCAATGTCCCAACATCACATCATACAACCACGATGATCTTTCCACCTATGCCCTCACCATCTGTGTGTTACAGTCCTACTAGTTGAGCTTCTTCTGAGTTCCAAGTCCAACGCTCTACCATTCAAATTGGCATACACAACAATGTGAATCACTAACCTGTGAAATGATTTTCGCACTGTCGTTTTTTTTTTATTCAGATAGTTCTTCCTAAAACAAAACTTTCTTTCAGATTTAAAACTCTAGATCCATTTCTAATCGTTATTCTATCAATTAATTAATATATTTCCGAGCCCAAGTGAGTGTTTTGGTAAAAATGGAGATTTTTTAATGTGGTCGAAGCAGGAGATGGTAAGCATATGCATGTTATTATATAAGAAGAGGAGGTTCATTTTTTCAAGTTCCCCTCGAACAATTTTTCAGTATACCGGAAACATGAATTGGTACACCAAGGTGTCATAATATATAAGTGGATGGATATTTGAAAAACATAATTTCCAACCACTTTTGTTATGGCACTGGTATGTCGAGCATGGACGGAGCCAATGAAGGCTCATTGGGGGCAGATGCCCCCACTCAAATAATTTGTTTGTTTAGTTGCAGATTACAATTATATAATACACATGAGTTATCTTTGAAGAAAATATATGTATCTAATATCCAAAATACATTCATTCTACTTATACTCCATATCAAATATTATATGAGCAATAGGGCTCTTGTTCTGTCATCCAAACCGAAAAAAACCCTATCCTGCTTATCATGTACTTATATATTTTCTCATCACCTTGCAACTTTTCACTACTATATTGAAATTTTTGTAACATTGGAATTGTGATACATCATCATTTCAAACTATCATTAATATCATATTGCATATAACCATACTATAATAAGGTTTTCTTAGTTGTTTTCCGTTACCCCTATTAGAAGAAATTTCTAGTTCTGTCCTTGATGCCGAGCCGTGTTTTCCAGTACACTGAAAAATTTCTCGTGCCTCTTCACTTATTTTACATATGTGTCTGTGTTCTTAGCACGTTGAAAAATCCTTTTGAAAAAAAAAAAAAAAAAAAAGAATGTTCAGCTTTGGCATGCATGCTAGAGACGAAGACTGGTCGTTGAGTTGTGACAAGAAAATTCCTTTTTATTTATTTTAATTTCATCTCAAAATTGGATCACTCTCTCTCTATTTAATCTCCCACTACTAAAAAAAAAAAAAAAAACTCAAGTCCTCTTCATCAGAAAACCACGACGGCTTCTGATCTCCATGGCCATGGAGATCAAGCTCCATCAAAAGGAAGACGGCCCACGAGTCCTCAAGGTCCTAGAAGCTCTAAAACAAGCCTCCCACGAGCTACAGACCCACCCGAGCCCCGATTCGCCCGAGTCAAACTCATCCTCCGCCATTAACGCCCTCCTCGAGCTCGAGACTGAGTCCGACAACATCCTCTCCCGGGACCCACAACTCTCCGCCCTCTCCCAACACCTCGCCACCCTCAAAACCCTCGTAGAGTCCCTCCGGCAGTCCAGCGGCCACCTCAGCATCCGCTCCTTCCTGACCCGCCGCTCCTCGACTCACTGCCTCTCCAAACTCGCCGGGTCGATCGAGTCCGAAATTCAAGCGTGGATTGACCGCGAGAGCTTAGATAGCTTGACGCGAGCTCTGGAAGAAGACCCAATTCGCGACGAGGACGAGTTGATCAAGCTACTGACTCAGTTCGAGGACAGAGTCGCGCAGGGGTTCAACCTCGAGTTGCAAGATTTGATCTTGAAGTCCAAAGTTTTCACTTCGCTCGAGTCAGTTCTGTGCGATTCGACTCGGTCATCGAAGCGAGTCAGAGAACGCTCTGCTTTCGCCATTGCAGCTCTCATCAAGTTCAATAAAGATGTTTTCGTGGGTCAAGTTTTGATGGGTCGGCCGACGATTAGCTCTCTGATAAAAATGGCATCACCGGACGCGATCAGAGTACTCTGCGCGCTCGTCAGGCTGATCAAATCGCCGCTCGTCGAAGAGATCGAGTTCAACGGAGAAATACCCAAGATCATAAGCTTCCTGAATTCTGAAGATTTGGAAATGCGAGTGATGGCGATGGTCTGCGTGCTGGAAATCGGTTATTTCGGGCGGAAGGAAGCCATTGATGCGATGCTAGAGGAGGGGTTGATTGAGAAGCTTATGGAGTTGCAGAGGTCGGAGCACGGCGGCGATTTGATGAGGGAGAGCAGGGAGAAGGGGTTCTTGGAGAGCCACCCGTTTGCGAGCTGCGTGGCGAGGTTCGCGGTGCAGTTAGAGGTGGGTGAGGGGCTGAGGCAGCGGGAGAGGAGGGCGTTTAAACAGCAGATATTGGTGAGAGTGAGGGAGGCCTCCGTTTCCGAAGCGGAGGCCGCCACCCTTTCTGCGGAGGTTTTGTGGGGGGCTTCGCCGTAAGGGGGTGAAAGAAAGAAATTGAAATGATAGTTTTTGGTGTAATTAGAAATTCAATTTGTTTGTTAGTGAAATCACGTTCACGTTTAAATTGTTTTTATTTGTAATTGTAATTATGCGATTAATTAGTATCAGTGGTATGAAAAATTACACCTTTATGAAAAATTGGTTCCAAGACGTATCAAATCACTCTTATCAAAAAATAGAAAAAAAAAACATCAAATCATATGGATGTGACAGTATTTCAAATTAATTACGTATTGTTATTAATAAAAATTAAAATATATTATAATGCATTATTGATTTAATGATATCTCTCACCATTAATACTCAACAATCTCATCAACACCCATCCTAATTCCCGTTGAATATTTTGATCAGATAGACGTGTTGTGCAAGAGTTTCGACTAGAAAACTCCTTTTAAGTGTAAGTACGTGTTTTGCGTCAAGGAGTTGTCTACACCTTTGTAAACGTCATCGTGATATTACAAATTATTAATACAATGTCGTCACACAACTTAAATTTCACACAAACACGACTTTTTAACACACCGCCACTTGTTTGCGACTAGTGGAGGGGAGCTTAACATAGTTTGGTGGTTTTGGGGACTCTTGATTTTGGGATTAAGGAATCAGAATATATTTGTGTTAAGGGATATTCTTAGCTTAGGTATATGCTGCTCGATAATCTGCAATTTGGTTTTTCATGACGTCACGTGAGTGTGAACGGTGAGGATCTGAAGTCAACGATCAATGATGCCATGTCAGATGCGGATGGGAATCATTGGATCGGATCTAAGCAATTGATATTAATTAATGATTTAAAGTGAAGGCTAATCTTATAAATATTACACTTTTTAAATGATTAATGTAAATGGTTTAGGTGGGTGCAACTGTGTAATTAAGCCCGTCTTAAATTCTTAATGGAACGAAAAATAGGGATACGGTCACGTGGTCCATATTCTATAAGGATCCCTCCTAATTAAGTAAGCAAATTTTTGGGGTGCGAGT